AGAGGAAGCGGAGCGCAGACCAACTGGGCTTGGTTCGGGGCTGACCAAGTTTGGTCAGCCCCGGACCAAGCTCAGTCTCAGTTTTGAACTGCGGTCCGTCTGCCTGGTCAGTCTGGGAAGGAGAAACATACTGAGTTGGTCCGGGGCTGACCAAATTTGGTCAGCTCCGGACCAAGCTCAGAATTTCTCCGAAAACGGACAGAACGGCGGACCAGAGAAGCTGACCAAGGTCAGTCCGGCGGACCAGATTCTGGTCAGCTCCGGACTGGACCTTAGACACTTCTCAAGTCCGAAATTTTGTCCTCTTCCTCATGATTAATCTCAAGCTATTACCGCCCATTAGTAGAGCAACTGTCAAGGCCTCGATCGTCATGGTTACGGGTCATGCCCTAGCTGAGCGTGCCTGACTATCTTGGTGAGGCAGTATGGAGAAATCGTGATTCTCATAGCTCAAATATGGTTGAGCTTGAATTGGGTTATCAAGTCGGACTTGGACCTGATGGTAAGGATGGGATGAGGAACATGCAGTGATAGCGTATCACTATCCCATACTCATCTAGGAATCACATAGGATGTGATTGACAAAGTGTTGTCTACCTAAATAGCATGGTTTTGAGCGTCATGCCCTAGCTGACTCAAAAGCATGTGAAATATGGATCCTAGCTCACTTGGAAACTCATTGAGGGTGTTTTTCTTAGTGGGAGCCTGTCATATTGCATCTATTATCTGTGTTAGTAAGTGTACTAAGTGACTTGCATATTTTCTGTCTGTTTGTTTGTCTTTTTCTGTAGTGTATATCTGTTGCAGGAATCTGGTTAATCTCACCATGCGATCTATCCTTATGAAGGATAAGCCTCTGACCAAGGCTTCTGGATCGATCATTGATGCTTATTGGAAGCATGAGGATGATGATCTGGACGTGTCCAGCTTGATGCTTGGAAAGATGTCTTCGGAATTGCGTGAGCAATTAGATGACATGGACAATTCATTGATGGATGATCAGTTGAATATGTCATTCCAAGAGAAAGCTGGGAGCCAAGGGAAGAATGATATGGTGATTGTTGGAAAGAGTTCCAGCAAGAGGAAGCGTTCCAAAGGTAAGGGCAAAAGGAAATTGACAAGTGTTGTCACTAAGCCTAAGTCCAAACCCAAGAAGGAAGAGTGTTATTTCTGTCATGCCATTGGGCATTGGTATAGAGATTGCAGACTCTACCTGGAAGATCAAAGGAAGAAGAAGCTTGCAGAAGCTTCAATTTCCGGTATCTTCATTATAGAGGCCAACTTGTGTACTTCTTCTTCATGGGTATTAGATACCGGATGTGCCTCGCACATTTGTGCAAATGTGCAGGGACTGCGAGGAAGTAGACAATTGGCAAAGGGAGAAGTAGATCTCCGTGTCGGGAATGGAGCAAAAGTTGCTGCATTGACCGTCGGGACTTATGATCTGACTTTACCTTCTGGCCTTGTATTGGAGTTGCATGATTGTTATTTTGTACCTGCCATCAGTAGGAACATCATATCGATTTCATGCTTAGACTCAGATGGTTTCAGATTTGTTATTGAGAACAAATGTCTGTCCATTTATAGAGGCGATTTATTCTATTGTAAAGGTTACCAGTTTAATGGCCTTTATATTTTGGAAGATGAACCATCTGGATACAGGTCGATCTATAATGATCGATATGATGTTCCTACTGATGGCAGGTACAAAATAACAATCATGCAGCTCCAATACTAGGCCAGAAGGTAAAGTCAGATCATAAGTCCTGACGGTTAATGCAGCAACTTTTGCTCCATTCCCGACACGGAGATCTACTTCTCCCTTTGCCAATTGTCTACTTCCTCGCAGTCCCTGCACATTTGTACAAATGTGCGAGGCACATCCGGTATCTAATACCCATGATGAAGAAGTACATAAGTTGGCCTCTATAACGAAGATACCAGAAGTTGAAGCTTCTGCAAGCTTCTTCTTCCTTTGATCTTCCAGGTAGAGTCTGCAATTTCTGTACCAATGCCCAATGGCATGACAGAAATAACACTCTTCCTTCTTGGGTTTGGACTTAGGCTTAGTGACAACACTTGTCAATTTCCTTTTGCCCTTA